TGTGCTACCCAGGTGGGGGAAGGGATTAGCATTCAGGTGGGAGATTGATGAGATTGATGTGCTACCCAGGCGGGGGAAGGGATGTGAAAACGGGCTACAGGAACAGATAAGCAATGATTAACAGTTAACCTGGGAGGGGTCTCTGGCTAGGCTGCTCCTCCCAAGTCATCTTGCCCTTATCATTCCCCCCTTTGATGCTAGACGAGATTGGCCTGAGTCTTAGCATCATCACACAAGCCACGGTGGTCACTCTGTTGGGGTTGGGTCGGGAGTCTCTGGTTCCTCGGGTAGACGGCCCACTGTCCTTCAGTTCTCTTCAGCCGGACTGTGGGGGCTCCCTTCGAGGTGGAGTTTCGGTGGCTCCGAAGTCCTGGCTCGTCTGGATCTGCTGCTGCCTTGGCCCGAGTGTAGTGGATCCAAGGGGTTATTCCTGTAACTTTAAGGGCAGTAGGGGTGGTTAATAGTACTAGATATGGGCCCGTCCAAATGGGTTGGAGTGGTTCCTTTTTCCAATCCTTTACCCATACATACTGGCCTGGACGGAAGGGGTGTGCTGGCCTCCTCAGTAACCTCTAGGCAGCAGTGGTCTGGGTCCCCTAGTTCGGTCGGCAGGAAGGTTGCAGGGTTTAATCTTTTTACAGTCTTTACCTGGACCCGAGGATTCTCTTGGAGTATGCCCTGATATTGTGTCAGTCTGGGGTTGGACAGCCATCAGTGCCCCTGTCCTGCCAGGAGGCTATGGATGCTATGGGGAACGAATAGAGTGGTCTCCTGCCCCAAAGTTAATTTGTCCGCTTCTTGGAGCAGGGATACTGCGGCTGCAACTACCCTCAAGCAAGGGGGCCACCCAGCCGCGACGTTATCCAGTTGCTTAGACAGGTAAGCCACTGGGCGCTCCCAAGGTCCGGCTGATTGAGTTAAGACCCCCAGAGCAACCTTGTCCTTCTCATGCACATGTAGATAGAAGGGCCGGCTGGGGTCTGGTAGGCCCAGAGCTGGGGCTTTACTAAGGAGGTCCTTTATTTGAGCAAAGGCCTGTTCCTGTTCTTTTCCCCATGCCAGGGGTAAGGTGTCTGGCCCACGCAGGGCCTGGTAGAGTGGCCTTGCTCTGGCTGCGAACCCCGGGATCCAAATTCTGCAAAAGCCGGCTGCTCCCAGGAACTCACGTAATTGTCTTCGTCCGCTCGGGGCTGGGAAACAGGTAATGACCATTTTCCGGTCTGTATTTAGGGATCTTTTGCCTTGGGAAATTAGGAACCCTAAATATTTGACTTCTTGTTGGCAGATTTGTGCCTTTTTCCGTGAGACTCGGTACCCTTGTTGGGTTAGCAGTTTTAGGAGAGCTCTTGTCCCCTCTAGGCATCGGCTCTGGTCGGCGGCAGCTAAGAGGAGGTCATCAACATATTGGAGTAGAGTTAAATCCTTTCCCTCGTCTGAGAAAGATTGCAGGTCCCGGGCTAGCGCTTCGCCGAATAACGTGGGGGAGTTCTTAAATCCCTGTGGCAACCGGGTCCATGTCAACTGTGTCTTTACTGCCGTATGCGGGTCTTCCCATTCAAAGGCAAAGATAGGTTGGCTGGCTGGAGCTACCGGGATGCAGAAGAAGGCGTCCTTTAAGTCTAGGCATGTGTACCAGGCGGCGGTTGGCGGGAGTCGGCTCAGTAGGGTGTATGGGTTCGGGACTACCGGGTGCAGTGTGACGACGGCTTCGTTTACCACCCGGCTTCGTTTACCACCCGGAGGTCCTGCACTGGACGGTACCCCGTTCCGTCAGGTTTCTTGATTGGCAGGAGCGGGGTATTCCACGTTGATTGACAGGGGACCAATATACCCTCTTGGAGGTGCTTTCGGATGACCTCCGATATTCCTAGGCGGGCCTCCCTTGAGATAGGGTACTGTCGCTGGCGGCACGGTTTAGCCCCCGGTTTGAGTTCAATTATTACTGGGACCTGGTTTCTGGCTAGTCCAGGGGGATTGTCCTCGGCCCAGACCCTGGGGAATTCCTGCAGCAGGTTGTCTCTAGCCTCAGGTCTGGGGCCATGGTCACCAGATTCCCCAGAATACAACTGGTATTCTTCCTCTCGTGGCAAAATGAGGGCCATGAGCCTAGGGCCGTCCACTTGCAGCGAGGCCTCCCCTGACTGCTGGAAGGTGATTCGAGCTCCCAGCTTCGATAAGAGGTCTCGCCCTAACAGTGGGACAGGGCATTCAGGTAGGTATAAGAACTCATGTCTAATCCGGTGGCCTCCCAGATCAACAATTCGGGCCTGGCAGAAGCGTTTTGGGCTACTTGGCTGACCAGTGGCCCCTACAATGGTGACTTCTCGTCCGGATGGGGGAGCTACAGGGGTGGTGACGACCGAGTGCTCTGCCCCGGTATCTACCAAGAAAGAGAGAGTCTGGCCCCCAACAATCGCTTCGACCATGGGCTCATGGGGGCCTAGATTCAGGGAGCCCGGTCTTCCTCATTCTGAGTCTAGGCCCGCCAGACTAAGGATGGTTGGCGCCGGCTCAGAGGGTGCCAGACCAGCCTTCTTTTTCCGGTGCGGGCATTCTCTTTTCCAATGTCCTCTTTCCTTACAATAGGCACATTGGTCTCTCTCCACCTTGGCGTGCCCTTTCTGGTCTTTCGGTCCCCCTTTGCCTTTTGCTGCCGGCTGACTGAGGGCGGCTGCTAGCAGTGCGGCCTTTTTCTCTAATCTTTTCTGGGCTGCCTTCTCAGCGGCCTCCTCCCGGTTATTGTAGACTTTATTTGCTACCTCAACCAGCTGACTGATGTTCATGCCTGCAAAGCCCTCTAGCTTCTGGAGCTTTTTGCGGATGTCAGGGGCCGATTGGGAGACAAAAGCAGTGTTTACCATTAGCTGTGTATCTGGGCTTTCTGGGTTGAAGGGGGTGTATATCCGGTAGGCCTCTAGGAGCCTTTCTAAGAAGTCCCCGGGACATTCATCTGGCCGTTGGACAACACTGGCCACCTTTGACATATTGGTCGGTTTTCTGGCCCCAGCTCTGACCCCCTGGAGGATGGCTTCCCTGTACCGGTCCAGGGCTGCTCTTCCCTGTTCGGTGTTGTGATCCCAGTCAGGTTGGGTCTCTGGGGCTGCCACCCGAGCGTACTGAGCTGGGTCTATTGTGCCCACTGGAGCGTTGGCTTCTAGATATCTCTGGGCCTCCTGGAAGACTCTGCGCCTCTCTTCCGTATTAAAAAGGGTTAGGAGCAATTGGCGGCAATCGTGCCACGTTGGCCGGTGAGTTTGCATAATGGACTCCATTAGGTCTATGAGTGCCTGGGGCTTCTCCGAATATGAGGGTGTGTGGTGTTTCCAGTTCAAGAGGTCAGTCGTGGTAAAGGGCTGATAGTAAAACACGACCGGTCCCGGGTATAAGGTCCCATCAGGCCCCGTTCGTGGCGGGCCCTGGGTCTCCCGCAGTGGCATCTGGAGGGACTGGTGGTGTCTTAAGCGGGAGGCGATAGGAGATTCTGGGGGCGCTGTTGCCTCGGGCTGCGGGGGCGAGACTGAAGGGGGCGGTGTTTCAGGCGCCTCCGCCTGACCTCCCAAGTTCCTAGCTGGGTAAGGGGGAGTCTGCACCGGGGGTTCTTCCTCTGGTTTGGCAACTAGGATGCGGGTTACATCCCTTTCCTTTGATCGGGAGCAACAGTTCCGGGCTCCCCTGGCTTGCCTTCCCGTAGAGCCTAGGTGACGAGGTTTGACCCCCGCACACTTCCGGAGCCAGTCGGGCATCTCTTGCGCTAGCTCCTGCCACTTTTCTATGTAGAGGAGTTGGTTCGGGTGTCCTGGGCTTCCTGTGACTATGAGATGGACAGCCCTAATTATGTCTAGGTCAAGGGTTCCCTCAGGAGGCCAGCCTACCCCGAACCTGGGCCACTCAGCGGAACAGAAATTTCTAATTGCCCCGGATCCATATCGGGCTGCTGGCCCCGGAACCGGTCGAAATTCCTTAACATGCAATCTAAGATGGTAGACTGTCTGCCCCCCATGATCCCTCCCGAAACGGCGCAGACAAACGGGGGCAACAGGGATACTTTCACTTTCGCCCGCCTGGCCTCTCCTCTCGCGAGGGACTTGGGTCTGTCTTAGCTAAGGCTGCCCGAGTAGAGTCCGGGTTAGCTTCCCAGCCGTTATGCCGTATGACAGACCGAGGACCCGCAGGTTAGGGCTCACTCAGACTCCGTAGGCTCGGGGGAACACCGCTGGCCTGTGGAGCCACACAGTCAGTCACTCACTCAATCACACAGAGGTTAACACTTTCCCTCCCGACAAGGAAACCATGCCAGAGGCCGGTAGGCCTGAGAGGTGATCAGCCTCCCCTTCCACCACTTATAGGTGGGTCTGATTCGGGTCTGGTCCCCGGGGCACTTACCAGTCTGGCGCCTTCAGGTAGGCTTGGGTCCGCTCCCCGAGTGCCCGGGTTATGGAACGGCCCGAGGTCGGGGCCAAGGGGAGCCCAGCCCCTCGGGACCCGAAATCACCGGGGCACGTGCTTCCCTCTGGAGTCCGGGCTCACCCGGCCGACCCCAGTCGTCTTCACCGGAGGCAAACGGCCTGCTCGTGTGAGTCGTTTCCCGGTCAGGGAACCAAATGTTACGGAAAGCCAGACTCAAGACACGATTCAGGGAACGGAGTAAGCCTTTATTCACACGCGCGGGCTCAGAGGAGGCAGTCTCCAAATTCTGAGCCCCGAATCGGGGTTAGATAGGGGTTTATAAGCCCTAGCATTCCGGCAGGAAACGGATGGGCTTCCCAGGTGGGGGAAGGGATTAGCATTCAGGTGGGAGATTGATGAGATTGATGTGCTACCCAGGTGGGGGAAGGGATTAGCATTCAGGTGGGAGATTGATGAGATTGATGTGCTACCCAGGCGGGGGAAGGGATGTGAAAACGGGCTACAGGAACAGATAAGCAATGATTAACAGTTAACCTGGGAGGGGTCTCTGGCTAGGCTGCTCCTCCCAAGTCATCTTGCCCTTATCACTTTAGACACATTCAAAACATGAGCGAGATCAAGACTGATGTTGGACGCGCTCGGGCATGGATAAGGTTGTCTCTAGAGAAGAAACTCTTATCCCAGCATCTCAAGCAGTTGCTCTCTAACCAGCCACTCACCAGGTAAGAGATTGCCTCTTGAGGCATTTTTGTTTCTGTGACCTGTGTGCTTACCAAGCAAATTGCATACATTGACAAACTGTAGTTTTATTTTTCTTACATAAAGAGCGGTCTCGAGATGGGGAGTCCACACAGTGCCATGGTAGATGTGGGCTTTTCGTCCCTCTCCTAGACAGTCCTCAGTATGTGCCGATCACCTTGTGGCCACAAGATGGCTACTCTCGTAAAACTAATGAGTCAAAGGGTTTCTTGGTTGTTAGGTTTTTTAGTAGCATTGTTTTCTTTCTTTCTTTTTTTTTTTTTTAAGATTTTATTTATTTTTAGAGAGAGTGGGAAGGAGGAAGGGAGAGGAACATCAATGTGTGGTTGCCTCTCTCTCATCCCCCACTGGGGACCTGGCCCACATCCCAGGCATGTGCCCTGACTGGGAAACGAACCAGTGACCCTTTGGTTCACAGGCTGGCACTCAATCCACTGAGCCACACCAGACAGGGCACCAGAGGGTTTTGCCTGGTTTTAAATAAGCATTACCAACAAATTACTTTCCTGAAATTTCCAGTCCCACAATCTGCCATAGCTGTTCATGGCCTCCCACCCTTGTCAGCTCTAGTCATCACTTTCAAGTCTTTATCAGTGTGATAGACAAAATGGATTCACAGTTATTTTTCCTTTCATTACTGACTAGGTTAATAATGTTAACTGTCTATACGTTCATTTTTGTGAATTGTCTGTCCTTTCCAGATTAGAGTTTTTACTCAGCTTGTCTAAGTGGAGCTGTTTACTTTAAATGGAAGGCATAATGAAAAATATACAAAAATGTACTATACCGTTATTTTGTGCTTGTCTTGCTCTTCCCTAGAAAGCTTTATAAGCGTTACGCTTTTCTACGTTGCGAAGAAGAAAGAGAACAGTTTCTTTACCATCTCCTTTCCCTCAACGCTGTGGACTACTTCTGCTTCACCAGTGTGTTCACCACTATCAGTAAGTCTGGAGAATTGACTTAAGTGAAGAGTTGCTCAGGTGACTAAAGGAATAAGAGTTCATATTTTTAAGAGTGACACATACCACAGTACAGAGAGACAGGCACTGTGATGCCCCCGCCCCCTCCCTTTCTCCCTTTAAGAGTGAAGGTTGTGCCCTGGCTGCTGGAAGAGAGCCCTCAGCTCCCGGCCAGGATGTGTGCCTCACCAAAGAGAACCACCTTCCCCTGGGGAGCCCTCTGTCAGGACCAGCCAGCCTCGGGGACTGGCCAGAGGGCTGGGCCAACACTGGCCTGTGGATCTGCTGAGGACTTCATTATGACAGCATCACAGCTCAGCTTCTAGTCAGCCTGTGCCTCCTCACAGGTTGATCCCAGAAGCAACACTCTGCATACTAATTTCTGACTCAGCATCTGCTTCCCAGGAAACTCAGTCTGCAGTAGGAAATAGGATGAACCTGAAAAGGAATGTTTTACTATATTCTTATATCTTATCCAAAACACATAAATTCAAAGAATCAGTATGTGACACAAATAAACTTCTGTAACTGAGTGTCATTAAACTCTGATGATTCAGAAAGACTTCGGGATCTTGATGGACATTGTAGTCCATAGAGGGAGGAAATGCTGCTTGGAGATGAGTTAACTAAATTAAAGGATTTATTCTCTTCCTCATTACTGATTCTTAATAGCAGTTGGTCCCCTTCCTAGTTTAGAGAATTTTTACTTGTATCAGTTGGGAGTTATGTTCAGCTGCAAGTTTCAGAAACTTGCAGAATATTGGTTTAAGCAAATTAGTAGTTTTATTTTTCATACCTAACAAGAAGTCTTGAGGAAGGCAGTCCATGGGGCTGTCATGGACGCAGGCTCTTTGTCCCCTCCTCCTAGACAACCCTCATGGTCACAAGGTGGCTATTCTCAGTCCACCATCCAGCAGGGAGGAGGAAGGAATGCCAAGGAAAAAGGATCAGAATCTGTGCTAGAAAAACAATTTTCCAAGAAATAACAGTGAACTACACCAACATTTCATGGGCCAGAGCTGTGTAGGTTTTGGTTTTTCTAGCCTCTGGTACCAACAGATAAGGAAAACTGGAGTGGAAATAGCTATTGGGCCAACCTATAGTATCTGTGTAGCTACTGTTATCTTACTAGTTTATTGTGTGTATGAGAAGCTAAAATGTTATATACAGTTTTGAAAGAAAAGAAATAGTTAGGATTCCTAAGATCCTCCTTATCAGTATGGATGGACCTGGAGAACGTTATGCTAAGTGAAAGAAGCCAGTCAGAGAAAGACAAATACCATATGATTTCACTCATGTGGAATCTAATGAACAAGCCGAACTAACAGGCAAAAGAGAGATAGACTCATAGATGGAGAACAGGCGACAGCTAGTTGGGGGGACTTTGGAGAGGAGGGATTGAACAAAAAGGAAAAAGGACTCAGGGACAGGGACAACAGTGTGGTGATTGCTGGGAGGGAGAGGGTATAAGGAGACTAAACGGTAATGGAAAAAAATAATAAAGATAAAATTAAAAAATAAACTAAAAATCCTCCTTATATCTGCAGTTTCTCTTCATGTAGGAAACTCAATTTGAGGAATTGAGATAGTTCATAAAAGACATTCTGAGTATAAGTGATACTACTTTTTATAGTTGAAGAAATCACTATTGTGCATCTGTAGGCCCTTTGCAGGCACAGAACTGCTGGCCCTCATAGGCCTTTTCTGCAGCTTTTCTAATCCTGTCCACGGAAGAAACTACTAGGAGCCTGTGGCACCTAAAATAGTCTTGCTCTAACCTCTTCTGCTTTCAGTTTCAAAACCATTTTATTCTTGTGATTACTAAACTGTGAAAGCGTAGCCTTTCCTCTGACGTCTTTCATCTGCTCAGCCAAAAGAAAAAGAAAGGGAGGTTCTTCACTCAACATAAAGAAGGTGATCTATGTGAAATTAGGGAAATGAACCATCTATCCCGTTCATTTTCCACATCGAAGCATGCACTGAACCACGAGCGCCTATAGTGAGGCGGCACCAGGGCACCTTGTCTAGTGTATGTTTTTCATCTTACCTGTAGTTCTTTCAAGAAGGGCTTCCAACATGCCCTCTTATAACCAAGTGAGCAGAAATCACAAGAATACCAACAAAAAAATATGGATTCCACCCTGCTTTTTGAAAAAGAAAACGTGTGACTGAAGGATAAAAATGTGCTACTGTGTTTGAGCCATCACCACTTTTTAAAGGAAAATGGAGGGAGGGTTGTAGTGTCTAACTTTATTGTGACTGCACATTTGAGCAAAAGACAGTGGAAGTACAGTGACACCTAGCGGTGTGCCTTTCGAGAGCCTGCAGGAGCACCGGTTTCACACAGCTTTTTCCACATCTTGATTCCCTGCGGCCCCTCCGTGAGTCACCTTAATAGCTTTTCAAGTTGTGTCCAGAATGGATGTGCCTGCCGTTGTTTATTATTCTTGGCTTTGCATATCGAGCTGTAAAATTGGGATAGGAAAGTTCGGAAGTGCCATGCTTTCAAGCATTGCCCAAGGCAGTCAGCAGCAAGGGGACAGATCCACCCCCTTTTTCATGTGAAACCATCCAGGAACTTGGCTCATTTGTGCTCAGTTTTGGAACAGAATTAATGAAAATGTTAAAGCAATGAAAAGGCTATATGGCACTGTCAGTGTTTGTGCCCTCAGGTATTCTGGTGCTGATGCCTGCGACTGTTTATACCTGCGGCGGTGGGGGGGATGGACATCAACCATGGTGGCGTGCGTGCCATGCACACATAGTGACGTGTGTGCTGGGAAACCGCCGCAAGTGTCAGGACTTACGGCCATAAACGAGACCTCATTTCTCTAGACCAGGAGAGGTTGTAATGTCATCCTTTTATCTAAGTACATCTTGACGGGTCATAAAAAGTGAATTATATGTGAAAGCCAACAGAGTTCTTAATACAGATTTGTTTTGTTATCAGGAGAATTTTATTGTGATCTTTCATTAATTTCAGCATTTTTCTTCCAGTGATTCCATATAGGTCAGTGATCATCCCCATCAAAAAGCTGAGCAATGCGATCATCACATCAAACCCCTGGATCTGTGTGTCGGGAGAGCTAGGAGACACGGGAGTGATGCAGATTCCAAAAAATCTCCTTGAAATGACTTTTGAGGTAGATTCAGCTGATATCCTTCTTAGCACAAAGTGCCATGTGTTACTCAACACAACAATTCCAGTTTCATTTTCATTTTTCCTTGATTCAGATAATAACAAGGAACACTAAGGCATTCAGGATCATTTTTGTAATCATATTCCTAACCTTTGTCATAAACATGTAAATTTATTTTGTATTTTTTTTTATTTTAATTGTTAAGCTCTGTATTTCTACTCATAATGGTGCGTGGTGGGCCTTTTCCAGGTCCTGTTCCACGACTCCCGTGCCCTGGTGCTAACGGCCATCCCCACAGTGGTTCTCTTCCTTACTGTAGAGTACTGCCTTCCTGAACGTGGCCGAAAGGACAGGACAGGGGGGCTGACACCCATGCTTATGGCCTTTATTATTCTTGGCTTTGCATAGCGAGCTGTCAAATTCGGATGGGAAAGTTCGGAAGTGCCGTGCTTTCGAGCATTGCCCAAAGCAGTCAGCAGCAAGGGGAGTCATCCACCCGCTGTGTCATCCACACAGTGACATTTATGAAGTGATTTGGTAAAAATGCCTTTCAGTGCTGTAGTTCCGAGCTCCCTTGGTGAAGCATTCCCATGCGTTTGAGTTCGCGTGCCGGTGGATCCGGGCACGCTGGAGGAAGACAGTACCTGCTCTTGTTTCAGGAAGGCAGTGGTACTAACCGAGCGTCCTGTTCTCCTATTCCGTGCCGTCCGGGAATAGCACTTTCCACTCAGAATCCCATTTTGGCCCCATCTATCCAGTGAACTCTCAGCCCTCTGAATATGAAAGATTAAAACCCTTGGCTTTTCTTGGACTACCAAGGAAGGAACATGAACTGCCGTGTAAGCCCCATCATGGCTGTTTCCAAACCCTGCCTCACATCTGGCTACTTCTTTCCTTCCCCGCAGCCCCCCTCACGCGAGTCACGCTGTCATGCCCTCTCACTGCGACACAGAGAAGTCAAGGCCCTTAAGAACTCACGGCCCTGACCTTCCCATCCTTACACAGGCACTTGGGATCTGTGATCTTTTATCAGAATTTAATTAACACTTATTTTTATTATTCCTGTTACTACTTTCTTGCCAGGAAAGATGTTGATAACCATGCTTTTTTTTTTTTTTTTTTTTTTTTTAACAGTAGCTTCAAAGACTTCTAGTAGATGAGGTTTGAGGTCAGTTACGCCTTAGTATTTTATTAGAAACAAAAATAACTGTCAGTGATTTTTTTTATATCTATAGTTGTTTTTCTGACTTCTCTGTAACTGAATCTGAATAGCATCCTTTTTCCACTTCTTGAAGTTCTTTTCATCCTTTAAGGCACAAATCACTGTCTGTGCAACATTTCTGGGTTCCCCAGTTAGAAGTAATCTGGATTCCCGAGTGTTCTTTTACCACTTGTTTACATCTCTCGTCTAGCACCTGTGCAGTCCCCTCATTAGATAACTAATGCCCACTTATCTCCTGTCTCATCAGATGGAATATACTAGATGTATTCACACGTCTCCAGTGCATAGCAGAGCACACATTACGCAGAGTGGGTCCTCTGCAGTTAAGTTAGGTGGAACCACAGAACCACAGCTAAAGCTAAGAGGCAGTGGGATGGGATCGGGTACCGAATAATCTGTGGTCCTGTCTCTACAGTGCCAGAACTTGGGGAAGCTGACTACTGTTCAGATTGGTCATGATAACTCAGGACTGTTAGCCAAATGGCTAGTGGATTGCGTCATGGTCAGAAATGAAATCACAGGACATACTTACAGGTAAGTAAATGTCCTTAGTATTTCAGAATTCTTTGAGACTCTTTAGACAAGAAGAGGTTTAAGAATTGTTTTCCTTCTAAAACTTTCCCACTACCTTCTGCATCTTAGTTTAGTTCTTGGGGTTATTTTATTTCAGTTTGGTTTATGTGATACAAAAGTTCCCAAAAAATACTTGACAAAAACAAATTGTGTTTGCTGCTAATGCTTAGATCACAAGTGTTGCTTATTATATTGAAAAAGATTGCTGTAGCTCTGATAGGAAGGAAGGAAGGAAGGAAGGAAGGAAGGAAGGAAGGAAGGAAGGAAGGACGGACGGAAGGAGCTTAAAATAATTTCAGTAAGAGGAAAGGATCTTTCAGACTGTGCTGGTTACAGCTAAAACTACTCTTTGGGAACACTATTTTCTTCTGTAACTTAAGTTTGACATTAATTTTTAGTTTAAGAATATTCTTTGTAGAACTAAGCACAAAACTTTAATGTAAGTTATGTATGAGAAAATATTAAAGAATTATCTTAGAGACAGCCAAGATGGAGGCATAGGTAGAAACACTTTGCTTCCTCACACAACCAAAAGGACAACAACCAATTTAAAAACAAAAAACAACCAGAGCTGTCAGAAAATCAAACTCTATGGAAGTATGACAATGAAGGAGTTAAAGGAGAAACATTCATCCAGACTAGCAGGAGGGGTGGAGACAGGCAGCCTGGGTGGAGAAGACATGCTGCAAGGTAGCGGCTGGAGGACCAGGTGGGCAAGGCAGCAGCTGGGGTACTAGGTATTCACGTGCAGATAAACTGGAAGGAACAACTGGGGAACGAGACAGACCGCGTAACCCAGGGTTCCAGTGCAAGGAAATGAAGTGTCAAAACCTCTGGAGGTAAAAACTTGTGACGGTTGTGGGGGTGGGAGAAACTACCATTCTCACAAGAGAGTCCTTTGGAGGGACCCACGGGGTCCTAGAATGTACACAAACCCACCCACCTTGAAATCAGCACCAGGAGGGACCAATTCACTTGTGGGTAGCAGGGGAAGTGACTGAAAGTGGGACGAGAGCCAAGCAAGTGACATTGTTCCCTCTCTGACCCCTTCCCACATACAGCGCCACAATGCAGCAAAGTGGCTTGTCCTGCCCTGGCCAGTACCTAAGAGTCTGCCCCCTGCAATGTAATAGGTGCATTCAAAGAAATATGGTCCAAATGAAAGAACAGATCAAAACTCCAGGAAAAGAACTAAGTGACAAGGAGATAGCCAACCTATCAGATGCAGAGTTCAAAACACTGGTAATCAGGATGATCACAGAAATGACTGAGTGCAGCCCCAAAATAAAGGATGAAGTGAAGGCTATACACAGGGAGCCAACAGTGAGGGGAAGGAAACCAGGATTCAAATCAATAATTTGGAACAGAAGGAAGAAATAAACATTGAACTGGAACAGAGTGAAGAAACAAGAATTCAAAAAAATGAGAAAAGGCTTAGGCCTCTGCGACAATGTTCCATCATCTGAATCATAGGGGTGCCAGAAGGAGAAGTGGAAGAGCACGAAATTGAAAATTTATTTGAAAAAATAAAGAAGGGAAACTTCCCCAATCTAGCAAAGGACATAGACATGCAAGTCCAGGAAGATCAGAGAGCCCCAAAGAAGTCGTACCCAAGGAGGAATACACCAAGACATCATAATTATGCTACCCAAGATTAAAGATAAGAGAATCTTAAAAGCAGCAAGAGTAAAGGAGAGAGTTACCTACAAAGGAATTCTCATAAGACTGTCAGCTGCTTTCTCAAAGGAAACCTTACAGGTAAAAAAGGGCTGGAAAGAAGTATTCAAAGTCATGAAAGGCAAGGACATACATCCAAGATTACTCTATCCAGCAAAGCTATCATTTAGAATGGAAGGGCAGATAAAGTGTTTCCCAGACAAAGTAAAGTTAAAGGAGTTCATCGTCACCAAGCCCTTATTTTATGAAGTTTTAAAAGGACTTATCTAAGAAAAAGAAGGTCAAAACTATGAACAGTAAAATGACAACAAACTCACAACTATCAACAGTTGTACCTAAGAAACAAAAACAAACTAAGCAAACAACTAGAACAGGAACAGAATCACAGAAACGGAGATCCCATGGAGGGTTATCAGCGGGGTGGGGGAGCGGGGAGAATGGAGGAACAGATACAGGGAATAAGCATAAATAGAAGATACAAAATAGACGGGGATGTGAAGACTAGTATAGGAAATGGAGAAGCCAAAGAACTTACATGCACAACCCATGGACATGAACTAAAGAGGGGAATGCTGGAGGAAGTGAGGTACAGTGGGGAAGAGGATAAAGGGGAGGGAAAAAATGGGACAACTAATAGCATAATCAATAAAATATACTTAAAAAGAATTATTTTAATTAGGTTCAGTGTGATAATCTATTGCTACGTAAAGGCTATGTAAGAGAGAATGCCTTTATTATTTAGAGGTTTATATTGAAGGGTTTTAGATGTAAAATGTTCTAGTGTATGTAATTTACTTTAAAATGCTTCAACGAAAAAGGATGCATATAGCATAATGTTAAGTCTAGGTGATTAGAATATGGGTGTCTGTTATACTATTCTTTCTACTTTTCTACGTTTGAAATTTTTTGTGATTAAAAGAAACAACCCTCAGGCACTGAAATGATGGTCTTTACCCATGGTGCTGTTTTTAAAATTTTGATTAAAACTAGCAAAACATCGGTGATTCAGAAGGTGTGTGTTTGTTTTTGGTTCTCGTCCCACCAGGTTCCCCTGTGGGCGGTGGCTGGGGAAAGGCATTGACGACGGCAGCCTGGAGAGGATCCTCATTGGAGAGCTGATGGCCTCTGCGGCAGATGAGGATCTGGTAAAGCAGTGCCGGACTCCCCCCCAGCAGAAATCACCCACCACGGCCCGGAGACTCAGCATCACTTCACTAACAGGAAAAGCCACCAGTAAGTAGTTGGGTTTTTAATTTTTCAGCATGTCCCAAATGTGGGCAGGTGTCATGTGGCAGGTGTCATGTGGTCATTTCACAGAAAGCTGTCACATTTATGAATTCTAATAGGTTAAGAAGAAAGCTGAGGAAAATTAATTTGGGAGAATGGACTTTAGAAAAGGAGGAAGAAGAAAAGGAAAAAAATAAGGCAAGACATTACAAATAATTAAAAGCCTGAAGAATTTCGGTGTTAAAATTCAAACAAATGCATGCTCTGTTTCAACTAAGCAATGGAAATATGAATAAATAATATTTTGCCTGAAACCTAAAAGAGGAATAAGGACAGTTTTATTTTACAATACTCCCGGATAGCCACATATAGCTATCTAGAGCCTCTTATTCTAAGAGAGATTCTAAAAATTTCTCTCCTCACCCCCTCAGCCTCATATAGAATTGATGAAACAAAATACTATAAAGGAATGAGTTCTATGGGTAGGACACTGTGTTCATGTGCCATTTTTACTAATAAACTCCTAATTTATCCTAATTTGGGCTTTTGTAGGCTGAATATGTCCCCCCAGGATATCAGATCCTAATCCCTAGAATCTGTAAATATTCCTTTATTTGGGAAAAGTTATGATTAAGTTAAGGATTTTGAGGTAGAGGTTATCCTGGAATATCCAGGTGGGCCCTAAATGCTATCACATGTCTTCATGTCAGAGGGAGGCAGAGGGAAATCAGACACATAAACGAGAGTATAAGACAGAAGCAGAAATTGGAGTGATGCAGCCGCAAGCCAGGGCATGCCGGCAGCCCCCAGAAGTTTGAAGAGGCAAGGGACACGTTTTTCTGTTGAGCCTCTGGGGGGGTGTGGCCCTGCTAACACCGACTTCTGACTTCCAGAACTGTGAGAGAATAAACTTTTGTTTTAAGCCACCAAGATTGTGGCATTCTATCACAGGAGCCATGGAAAACTAATGCAGAGGCAGTATGATTTAGTGGAAATTTATAAAAGTTTATCAATGAAGTGGTTTTATTTTAGCTGAGGACAATAACCATAAGTAGAATATCTCAGAAATATCTCAGAAATAAAACAAAAATATCTCAGAGGTCCTTAGTTTACTAACATAGCAATTTCCTTAGACAGTTTTAGCCCATCTATTTGTTAATACATGGGGATATATTCACTATTAGAATTATATTTTCTAAAAAAAACCCCTATTCTTTTGTAAATTTTTTTCCTGATTCATAAATCCTTTCTATAGTCAGAAGTAAAATTTACACCTTGTACCCACTGGAATAAAATGTAAAGGACTGATAATAGCAAATATTGCTGAGGATGGAGGGCAGTGGAATGCTCATACACTGCTAGTGGGAATGTAGAAGGAAAAACAGTTTGGCAGTTTCTTTTTTAACTTTCTTTAATTTTTTTTTAAACGATTTTATTTATTTATTTTTAGAGAGGGGCTGGGAGGGAGAAAGAGAGGGAGAGAAACATCAATGTATGGCTGCCCCTTGAGCACCTCTGACTGGGGACCTTAGCCCACAACCCAGGCATGTGCCCTGACCAGGAATTGAACTGGCAACCCTTTTTACCATACACTTGACCCAACAATCCTACTCTTAGATATCCACCCAAGAGAAATGAATACAGATATCTACACTAATACATGTACTCAAATGTTCTTAGTATCTTTATTCATATTAGTCAAAGTGGAAACAACCCCACTATCCACTGCTGGTGAATGGATCAACAAATTGTGGTATACCTGTCCAAGGGGATACCTCCCAGCAATATATAAAAGTAAGCAAACTGTTGATACATATAAGAGCATGGATGCAACTCAGAAACATTCTGCTGAGTAAAAGAAACCAGACCCAGAGGCCTAGGTACTAAAGGATTCCATTTATATTAAGTTCTAAAAAAGGCAATATAATAATGCTAGAAGGCAGATAGGCAGTCGCCAGAGCGGAGAGCCAGGGAACAGGACTGACTGAATGGGGACACGGGGACTTTTGGGGGTGGTGGGAATTGTCTATATTATGATTGTGGTGGTGGTTACATGACTATATAACTATCAAAGCTCACCAAATTGCACACTTAAAATTGCCAAATTTATTGTATGCCATACTTTAATTATGCTGATTTAAAATTTAAAAATAGATTTCACCTTAGTCTATTCCCGATTATTACAACTTTTGAATCAGTCCAGTTTTGTGGGGTAGTATGGTTTTGAGAAAGCGTACCCTAGCACTTTCGACAGGCACCATGCCGTGTGATGTACACCTCATGTCTCATTCAGTTTTCCCAGTGACCCATGTATGCGGTGTGCGTTTTCCCTGTTGTAGATGGAGGAAAGCCAAACTCAGAGGGAGTTAAACATTTGACCAGGGTTATAGATTACTGTGGTAAGACCAAGATTTAATTCTAGGCGTCGCTTGGCCAAACTGGGCTGAGGCAAGTTTCATGGAGCCCCGGGCAAAGCCAGCCCATGCTGGTGAAGTGTCGCCTGCATAGGTGAACTCTGCTGATAACCCACAGGACTTTGGTTTATTTCCTTTGCAAGCACATTCAGCCAGTGTTCGTTATTTTTCAGAACCCAATGCTGGACAGATCCAAGAAGGAATTGGAGAAGCTGTGAACAACATTGTGAAACATTTTCACAAACCTGAAAAAGAGGTATGATGAGCTATAAAATTAAGCATAGTAGGATTTAAATCCTCTTTTATACATGATACATAAGGCAACACAGGGTATTTTAATTTTCACTTGTAAGCTTTCTAGTAGCTGCAGCACCCTCAGCACTTGTTTCTCTAGCCTGCTTCTTAAACATCGACACAGCAAATTATCCTTCGGCCCTGTGTGTTGTGTCCCGCAGAGAGGAAGCCTCACGGTGCTGCTCTGTGGAGAAAATGGCCTGGTGGCAGCACTTGAACAAGTTTTCCACCATGGGTTCAAATCTGCCCGCATCTTTCACAAGAACGTCTTCATTTGGGACTTCATAGGTAAGTTATAGCAGATGGATGTTATTATAAGGTCATGGAGATTTTTAGAAAACTTAAAAAATCCAGGAATTGGGCAAATAAGGGTTATAGAGATAAGGGACTACTTTTTTTTTTTTTTTAATAAATATCAAATAAACACCATCCTTGCTTTTCATGCAGTCAACAAATATTTATAGTATCAGCATTAGTATCAGCATTTTCCAGATACTATTCTAGATGCTCAAGATATTAATCAAGATAAAACAAAACACAAGAACTCCTGTGGTTGATAAACTCACATTCTTGTGGGGTCAGAGGACAATTAATACACAAAAACATAACAAACATGCAACTCATCTAGTATGTTAGAAGGAGATCATTGATACTGGAAAAAAATAGAACAAGGTAAGAGGAAATAGAGTGCCAAGTGCTCTTTTTAATGGGGTGGTTCAAGGCTTATAGGTTGATGAGGTGGCATTTGAACAAAGACTTTGAGGAAGGGAGCCATGAGGGGGGCGGGGCAGATGCCCAGGCAGCAGTGCGCCTGGCCTTTTCATAGAAGGACAGGGACATCAGTGGGACCGAGCAGAGTGAGGGGGAGAGAAGGGACATGAAGGGGGAGGGTTATTTACCACCAGAGACAGGTGACGTGGAGCCTTCTAGGCCATTGGAAGGACATTGGTCCATTGGTCGTTATCCTGAATGCAATGGGAAGTCGTTGGGAAGGTTCAGATACACATTTTCAAAGGATGACTAGCTCTGTGCTGTCTAATATGGTAACCAGTAGCCACATGTGGCTATTTAAACTTACACTGATTTCATTTAAATTTAAAATTGACTTCCTTAGTCACCCAGCCCTACTGTAGCTACCAGTTGGACCTTACAGATGGAGACATTTCCTCATCACACGAAGTGCCACAGGAGTGTACTGCTCTAGCTTGCAAGCTCTGTCTCCTTTATTTTGGTATGCAGTTCTTCTAGAATTCCCAGTTTCTTCAAAGGGGTGATTAATCATCTGTATTTTGTAAATAAGGCCTGCATGAAGTAGTTGCTTTTGTCTAATTTAGAATTTTTTGTATGAATAAAGGAAGATTGACTGGTTAAGACCCTGGGAGTGATATTTTGTCTTCCTTCTGGAATGCCTAGGATATTGCTCCTGCTTCTGATGTGTGTACACATCCCTCTCACTCAGATTTACTGATTCAGTCTCATTTCAAAGATGCTGCAAAGTGTTAGCCTGCATTCGGTGGCTGGAACGGAGGGCACTACCTCTGTGGCTGCCATGGCGTCGCCGCTTTACTCCTGCAAGGTTCCAGTCTTCGCAGAGGAGTCCATTTTTATTTTTCTTCTTTTTTTTTTTTTTTTTTTTGCCAATTTTCATTTCTTAAAGCTATTCTAAAGAGAGTAAACTTCTTCCAACCTTTTAAAATGCAGTCTAGAAACTACACTCCCAGGAACATAATATTCCACCATGAAACATGGACTTCTAGAATTCATTGTGAAACCAATAATAAAGAACTGATTTTGGTTTCAGGACTGGCTGTAGTGCCAGTGTTATTATGCGATCAGCAGTGTTTCCAGAATAAACCTAGTGATTAGTCTTTCTATTACAAAGTGTTGATGTGCACTGTGATGTGATTCTGACTTCCTTCCCCAGAGAGAGCAGTTGCTTATTTTGAAACCACTGACCAGATTCTAGACAACGAAGATGATGTCCTGATTCAGAAATCATCCTGCAAAACCTTCTGCCACTATGTAAACGCTATTAATACCGCACCCAGGAACATTGGAAAAGACGGCAAATTCCAGATTCTAGTTTGCCTTGGAACACGGTATAAAGCTAGTTTTTGACTTTCGCTATCTTTGTTTACATGTTGAACAAGTTCAGAAAGGGTTAAACCAGATCATGCCCCTTCCAAAGCTCTCCCGAGGGTATTTTTCATTCCAAGTTTCATTAAGAGACTGCTGTTTATTGGGTACTTGTTATGTGTTGGGTAAAGCACTGTGCTAAGTACTTTACATACATTATGTCACTGAATCCCCTTATTCTTCACCGTCACCACTACTTGAAGCAGCCAACTTCCTCATTGTATAGATGAGAAGATAGAAAACAGATGAAGCACATATAAGCTAAAAATTCCCAAGAAGTGAAGCCAAGATTCACACCCACTCTCACTCCAGAGCCCAGGCTCTCAACCAATACGGTCTCCTGCTTCCAAAGACAGGTGACAGGTAGGCTGGTAGGTAATCATGCACACATGTATATTTACTACGTACAGCTTGTATAGTGTATATACCCCACCATATTAAATTTAATGACATTGCGAAATTCTTACTAAATAGTTTACTCTTTAAGACAATTTCCTACCTCTTTAATTCTTGAAAATGACAAATATGAGCTGTATAACTCATTAATTTTAAAACAGCTCTCAGAATTGTAAGAAATGAAACACACAAACCTTTAGAATTTTTTTTTTTTTTTTTTTTTTTTTTGTGCAATGTTTTCTTCTAAACCCTAGAGCCCCAAGGAGAAATGCAAGGTGGTCCTGTTACGGTGGCCTTGTTATGAAAGGCATGTTGAGAGATGCTCTGTAAGGATTTCTTAGATACCTAGTGAAAGATAATTAATGTCAGAGTTTAGTCAAGAAACATTGGAAACTGAGATTTCTGTCCTCCTGAAACAACTGGTTTATAGAACTAAGTTCTGAATTTCTTCTTAACAAAAAGGGCCCGATTTCAGCTGTGTTCTTAAAGTTCCTTTTGAACGCCATCCTTATCATCTTTTATATCTTTACTGTTCTGATTTATTAGGCCAATGCAACCCCTCTTTAGGTTTAAAAACTCTACTTAATGTTCTGCTTTGATTTTATTCCTTACTTTGTTATTTGCGTAAGTTACTTTAAAAAAAAAAGCTACTCCCTACTATTTAATGTAGTCTTTCTTCCCAAAAGGTCAACATACTGTGGCGTGCCTGCCACAGATGTCTAAGTAACACCCCTGTAAAAAGGAAATGCAAAATTACATTCTGCCTCTTTTAAAAGCAGTAAAATCAGAATAGAGAATTTCCTTAAAATGCGGAAATCCTCATGGCCAGTTTGCGCAGGCCTACTTTTAGAATCTGATGGGTGTTCTCGTTGACTTACATGTCTTGTTACTGTACCTTTTTAACCAGTAAATACCCAGCCTCTTGACTTCGGCTTCCTCCATGCTGAGGAAGCCGCGCGCCTTCCCGTTGAAAGCTCCAGCGTGTGCCTTGCTCTGCAGTAGGGCCAGCCGCCAGCCGCACTCAGGACTTGTTTCTTTTTGCGCCTGTAGGGATCGCCTGCTCCCGCAGTGGATTCCGCTCTTAGCTGAGTGCCCTGCCATTACCCGAATGTATGAAGAGAGTGCCCTCCTGCGGGACCGCATGACCGTCAACTCCCTCATCCGCATTCTGCAGACCATTCAGGACTTCACCATAGTCTTAGAAGGATCTCTCATCAAAGGAGTGGATGTGTAACCCAACTGGCTAGACACTCTCAGTCCAGACCCCTTGCTCCCGAACCTCCCCCGTCTCCGGGACCGATGTGGACTTGTCTGACAAGGTAGTGAGTTACTGCCGGGGGCGACGCGCCATATCCCCCGATTCGAACAATCCTCACACTACAGACAAGGCAAAATGCTGTATTGTAGTTCATTTGAACCAGGAATTTAGTATAAAATAGAGTATTTTCATGTGTTAGATGTGTGTAAATATGCTATCTTCTTTAAGAAATTATATTACATTACCCAAATAAGATACTTTTCTTAGATTGAATATCCCTGTGATTTAAAATAAGTAGCTTAAAAGCTTTGGGAGTTGGGTGGAGGAAGAGTCGTGCTAGTCAGGAAGAAGCCAGTAAACATGTAAATAGAGGGCAACCCAGCTGGGCTTTTTTCCCTCCGGGTATCACAAAGGAGCCCAGAATGCATTGTTGTGTCGTAGCCATCCGTCCTGGTGGCGGATCCCTTGTATTGTGAATGTAAACAGCTCTATCTACTGTACGGGGGCAGTCCTCACTTGTATCTTTTAAGTTGCAAATGGTTTCATTCATATGAATTGAGTCACTTTTCCAGCCTTTTGGAAAAAAATTTTTTATCAGCACAAGATGAAGATATAATTCAAATACTTTAAATACTGAACCCCAGGAGCTTGGTTTAACTGGAAATAGAACACACAAAGCCTTGAGAAGTGTGTTAAATTGTGGGATTATAACTTCTTTACAGTTCGGAAAGATTAACCTAGACTAACTTCATTCTTGGCATTTTTATTCTTGTTACTTGAGGCACTTCGGGCAGATGTGAGTTGCAAAGTATTGGCCTCTTAGTCAAAACAACTGCAAACGGCAGTTTGATTCTGTATTTTCTATTTGGCCATCGAAACCCTGCACTGGTCCCTTACCTCTGAAGGGTAACCATAAACCCCGTCTTTGTTTGGTTCCCAACACCCCCTCCCCTCTCCGGTGCCCATCCCCCTCTCAGGAAATGGAAGGAATTTCTGAGAAGGAGGAGGGCTCTGTGTGGCTTGGAATGTATTGTGAAAGTATTTGTTGACCAAGATAATGCAAATAACAGAAGGAGAGAGAAAGAATGAACCCTTTCTGGGTGTTTCAGGGCAAGCTTTACTTTCCTTTGTGAGAGGGGGTAATAACATAAAGCAACTGGCCCACAAAAGGTAAAAGCCAGTACAGCACAGACAGGCAAAATGCAAGCAAAACAAGACGCAACAGTTTTCAAAGACCAAATGTTACGAGTAACTTTCCAGTTTGGTACTTTACGAGAAAGTTAAATACATGCAGTGTTAGCTAGTTACCTTAAGTCTTCATCATATAGCAGGTCTGTAATTAGGCATTTGCACATTGTTAGCAGTGAAATTGCCTCAGCAGAGCTCCGGGTTTTACTCACAGTTGCGGCCAAGTCGCAAAGCTGTGGCCCCTCAGGGCTCTTGTGCGATCTGAGGGTCCTGGGCCTTAGCCAGTGATGTTGTTTCCCTTATTTCCTGGAGGAAGAAACTCATGAAACAAGTGCCTCACTCCCTTTATCTAACTGTGTTCAGCCCGAGCAGCCCAGGCACACCCCCTTTTGACGTGTGACTTAGCTCTTGAGGGGAAACGGGGGCTGAAGATTTTAGAAACGCATGGAAAGGACTTAAGGAGGTGTTTCTGGGTGACTTGGGGGCCCAGACGTTTGTTTAGCTGGAGGCTAAAGTGTGTCTGTAGTGGTGCGGCAGTTCAGGGACAGGGGAATTCTTTCATGGGAGGCCTCCAGAACCTGTTTCACACCAGGCTCCTACAGTGTTTCAATGATCAGAAACCAGGGAATGATCCAGCCCAGAGATTTGTTCTTCTTACCTTTTCCATGAGGCCATGCTTCTGACACGCTCCGGGCAACCAGGGAGGCGGCTTCATTAGACTGAGTCATCTAGTCCGGCCTTCTCGTTTTATAGGTGGGAACACTTAAGGATTAAAGAGATGAAATACTCCCACAGCTGGTTGGCGACAACACAGGGTCTAGAATACACGTTTGTTTATGACATTAGGCTGCAGGGGACTGACCTCCAGAGCACTCACCTTAATAGTCTTTCCACCCTTGGATTTTTAGTCATCCACCCATACAGATAGGAAAGAAGGATTAATATCCACGTCTACTAATCATTTATAAGAATTGATCACAAGTTGTAAAAACCGGGAGAAAATTGGATATGGGTGTCTGTGACTAAAACCATTTAAAAGATAATGCCCACAAAGAGTCGTCCTACCTAAAGGTTTACCCCGCTCTGTGCAGTTATGACTGCAACAGTGAAATGACCAATTTCAAGAGAAAGAGACACGCCCTCTACAATCCTAGGCCCTTTGAAGCGATCGCCTTGGGAGCCCGTTCATCTTAGTCCAGCGATGCAGCCAGTGCTCCCAATACGGGAGGACCTCTGTCCGAGCTGCATGCAAGGCCTGCAGCCCATAGGATCCAAGTTGATGAATAAAAAGGATGCTCAAGCAGAGTTACAGTCACAAAGAAACACAATCCTAAAGAAATAAGATTTAGTTCTTACCTGGCTTTATTTGCATAACTGTCTCTGAGCCAGTACCAAACGACTTTGAGTAGGGTGAAGCAGGACCCTCAGAATAATGTGCGTAGCCTTCCAAGCTGACTTTTGGAAGGACCATACCCTTTAGAGGTATCCTTTTTGTTAGGTTTATTTTTAAAATTAGTATATTTCATTACAGTCACACCTCAAAGTAAATAAAAATCAGTTTTGTAATGAACATTTTTCCCTCAAAATAAAGGTATTGCCTGGAACAATAATTGGTATTTTTGCATAATAATGGCTTAAAAAGAAATTGCTTTAAAATTACATTGCCAAAATTAGTACCTCTAGAGACTTTTTTTTCAGGTGGCCTGGAACTCCTAACCTCGACCTTTGTGGCACAGTAACATCACCCGATGTCGGTGTTATGGGTGAGACCCCACAGCTGTGCCCTGCCGAGGCTCATTAGCACCTTAAAATGGGCTGAGGCGCAGTGGCCAGTGGTATAAAAAAGTGAGGTTCCAGGTGGTAGGAACAGGCCACCAAGAGAAAAAGTAAGGCCTCCCAGCCCTCCCCATCCTCTTTCCCACGAAGGGCAAGAATTTGATATAAGTAACCTAAAACCTGCAAAAGTTTACCATTTCCCTCTAAAGTTCATTTTCAGTGTTTCACAGATTTTTGTACCTTTTGTAACCTTGTAGTATTTACTTTAACATGGCTTTTTAAAAAAATTGTTTTAATGAACTTCTGTCACACTATATGATATAGGGGAAATACTGAATTGCTTATATTTCCTTTTTTTGGCAATAAATCACTGGTGTATGTAAATATAAGTGAAAGGGGTAGAGACTATACCTAACAGTTTGTGTGTAGTGTATGTTGACACCTCTAGATATTTTGAAACATGAGGCAACAGACAAGGACCTCAGATCTCCAGGGAAATATTTATTTGATAGCAGTGTGAGTATAGCTCTAAATAATGAAATCTCTCTGCAAAGAATTATGATTTTTCAGAAGATTTTTATTTTGAGAACTGTGAGTATTCTATCTGTGAGGTTTACAGAAGCTAGTCCATCCTTTTCACCCTATTGAAAGGACAATCTGAACCTTCTCTATTTATGTTTCAGTATTAACACACCTTCATTGATTGAGAATGGAGTCTTCAGCTCCTCTTTACTTTTATAAAGTGAATCCTATTTCCAAGTCATCTATGTCTTTAGAAGTCCCTGTTTCTTATGTTAAGTATTTATTACATTACCATTTAGCTCAATAGTGGACAGAAACAAATAATAAACTGTTAGACCCCTTATTCTTATTAAAATACATTTATAAATCTCTTCAATCAGACTGATTGCCGAGCTTTTTGAAGAGAGTATTGATGGAGTGTGCTCAAAAGGATTCAAGGAGAACCTCATCCTTTCAGATCTTACTAGAACTGATAGATCGACCTCCAAGGACAAAATAAAAATTAACTCCAGAAAGATAACACATCGAGCAATTAATAGGAGAGTGAAAAATATCATCAAAATATTTCTCCTCCTCTGAAAAAAAATAATTCTCTTCATTTGAAGGAATCCAGGGTATCCTTGGGTTATATGAGAAGGAATAATACTTGATTCAATTACCTGAATTTATTATGTACGGCTCCAGTCTTTATTCCAAACACCAAATCTTCTTGACAAAGAGGTATGGTAAGGAATTCCTGTTGTCAATCAACTGAAGGTGTTAAACATATAGAAAAAAAATCCTCTATGTTACACTTGAACCATGTATAAATGTACCCTGTGTATCTTTTTAACAAATGAGCATTTCTGCATTTAAATTATATTGTTTTACTTTGTATTGTCAACAGAATCAGAACTGGATTTTTTTTTTCCTCATCAGAACATAATATAAAATTTAAAGAGTATTGTGATACCAAGCACTTTAGCATACATATGAGAGAAACTGACGTGGGTTTTTCAGGTTTTAGAGTACATTTAAATATGACTTTTCATGCTTTGTTCTTTACAATAAAACTGTGGGATTGATACTTTGTTTTGCTTCATTATTATAGAATCTTAACACTGACTATTTAACAGAGCAAGTAAAGTCAGAAAGTATAGAGATAAAACCAAGACCACTACATAGTAAAAACACAGCCCATGGGGCAACTGGTTATCCAGGAGGGGTAAAAAATAGGTATAGAGATCGATCCCCAGCTCACATCACACACACACACACACACAAAAAATCAATTCCTAGTGGTTTAACCTAAATTTAAAAGACAAAACAAAAGTTTTATGAGAAAAAAATAGAATGTATTTATAAACTTGAGAAAGTGAAGGATTTTTTAAACAAGACACTCAAAAATAACTAGCGTTATAGTCCATAGTGAAAATAGAAGGCAAAGATTCATTGATTACCCGCTATGTGTTAAGTAAGCATTGCTTTAGGTTATGGACATACAGCAGTTTGAACATACAAATACATCAAATATCTGCCCTCATGGAATTTATATTCTGATAGAGGAGTTACACAATAAACATGGTAAATAAGTAATACATATAGTCATATAATAATATAAAAAGCAAAGAAGAGGGATGGAAGGTATGGTTGGGGCTGCTTAGAACTGGACTGCAACTATAAGTGTGTTAGGGGAAGTCTCACTAAAAGTGCAGTTGTCTTGCCCTGGTCAGGTACCCAGCTGGTTGGAGCATCGTCCCAATACAGCAAGGTTGCAGGTTCCACCCTGGTCAGGGCACACACAAGAAGCAACCAATGTATGCGTGGAAGAGGGAAGCAGTGGATCGACGTTTCTCTCTCTCCCTCTAAAATTAATTAATATAAAAATGAAGTTGCCTTTAACTGAGGTTGGAAAAAGTGTAGGAGAAATAAGTTTCCAGGAGGAATGTGAAGAGCTTTTGGACATAAATTTGAATGCCTGTTTATACACCCAAGTGGAGAGGCTGAGTCGGGAGCTGCACATGTGGATTGGGAGTTCAGGGGAGAGCAATGGTGTATCGGTCAGGGTCCAATCAATAGGCAGAAACCAAAGCATTGTGAACAGGAGTACTCTAATGTAAAGCATTGTGTATTAGACCTTTTCAGGAAAACAGAACCAGTAGTAAATGTTTATAAATATAGAGAAATTTATTTTAAATAATTGGCTCAAGCAATTGTGAAGGCTTAGTAATCCAAAATCCCCATGGTGGGCAGACTGAAGCCCCAGGGAAGAGATGCAGTTCAAATCCAAAGGCAGTCTGCCCTGGCTGGTGTGGCTCAGTGGATTGAGTGCTGGCCTGCGAGCCAAAGGGTCACCAGTTCACTTCCCAGTCAGGATATATGCTTGGGTTGCGGGCCAGGTCCCCAGTTGGGGGTGCATAAGAGGCAACCACACATTGATGTTTCCCTCTCTCCGTCCCTTACCCTCTAAAAATAAATAAAATCTTAAAAAAAAAAATCCAAAGGCAATCTGCTAGCAGAATTTCTTGCTCAGAGAAACTCAGTCTTTACTCTGTTGAGGCCTTCAATTGATCAGATGAGGCCCACCCACATGATGAGGGTAATTTGCCTTACTCAGTGTTCATTGATGTAAATGTTAACCTCATTTAAAAAGAAAAAGAAACATCTTTACAAAAGCATCCAGAATAATGTTTGACCAAATATCTCGACACCATGGCCCAGCTACGTGGACACATAAAATTAACCATACCATTAATCCTGGCTCATGTGGCTCAGTGGATTGAGCACCAGCCTGCAAACTGAAAGGGTGCCAGTTCAATTCCCAGTCAGAGCACATGTCTGGGTTGTGGGCCAGATCCCCAGCTGGAGACATGAGAGAGGCAAATGATGTTTCTCTTGCACATCAATATTTCTCTCCTTACTCTAAAAATAAATCTTTTTTAAAAAAAATTAACCACAAACTATAAAAAAAATTGGAATAGTGGAGGATTTGCTAATAAGTGATAAAAGGAACACTAAAGAATACAAGGATAGCATAGTTGGGGAGCAGCCACTAACCGTAGGGCTGAAGTAACACAAACCAAGAGTTCCCTCCTCCTCAGTCTGAGAGCCAGACTTTATAAAAGTGGCTACAACAATGGGCCCACTGGATGGCAAGGAAGTTGCAGAGATGCTGCACTACTGGCACTTGTTTGGACTATGCCCTTGAGTTCTAGAGAAGCATCCTTGGGGAAGTGCCATACCCCAGAGCTTGCTGGGAAGCTACTGGAGGGGGTGCTAGGGAAGATGTCCATAGAGAGGTGCTACATACCAGGGAAACCAGTGCACAGCCATTCAAGGGGCACAGTGCGACATTAGCTGCTGAGGAGCACAAGAGCCAGGCACTGCACGTGGCAGGATCCTGCAGAACAGAGCAAAGCCGAAGCAGGAGAAGCAGCCCTCCTCCAGTGCCTCTCCAGCACGCTCGACTGACAGTTGTGCCAGCTGGCAAAGCAGGAAAGTTTACAAGAGGCTCTAGCTCCGTGTTGCAGAGCAGGTAATCGAGGGTAGATTTGGAGCTGAGAGGCAGTAAATTGATAGCTGCCCCAACAGTTTAGTTCCTTATATTCTGTTACGGAGGAAATGGAGGAGCGGAGTGGGAAAATACAGGAGAAGATAATAGAGCAAACGTGTCCCAACTTCAGGAGGCTGTGGTTTAGAGCAGACGTCTTCCACATCCATTTGAACTTTGTCCAGATGTACACGGTTTTCATCACTGCCTTTTAAAATACTGACTTTAATTAAAAATATTGATTAACTGCAGTTAATAAGGTTAGTAGACTTTTGCAGTCTCAGGGAGAGAAGACCACACTGGTAGCAATAAAGGTGTTGAAAGTGTTGGGTTCTGGGTATATTTTGAAGCAAAAGCCAGAGAATCTCCTGATGGATTGAATGTGAGGGATGAGTGAAAGAAGAATCAAGAATGATTCCAAGGAGTTTGACCTGAACAACTGGAAGGCTGAAGCTAGAATTTCCATGAACTGAGATGAGTAATGATGTAGGGAGAACAGGCTTTGGAAATAGATCAGGGGTTCAGTTTTGGATGTGTTAAATTCCATATATTGATTAGATATCGAAGTGAAAATAGTAGAAAAGGAAATTGAATGTCTGTATCTGGATTTTGTGAACAATTGGACTTTAGGTATAAGTTGGGAAGTTGCAGGCATTTATAGATGGAATTTATTGTCCTAAAACTGGATGAGGACACAAAGGGAGTGAGTTATTACATAATCTCCCACAACAATTTTAATTCACAATATGGATGTGGCATGACTGTTTGACATTTAGGTTTTTTTCACTGTTCTGAACAATGTTATGATGGAAAACATCTAGATAGCTCCCAGTGTTTCACTACTCTGAACAATACTGTAATGAACAAACATCCTTGCTTTGTGAGAAATTACCATTTGTGTAAGCCGAACAAAGGCTAATGTCAGTAGCTCCATGTGATTTAACCTAATATATTTGATAATTCTTTTGATACTTTACCCTGACTGTACTATAATTAAAATACATTTCACAACGTGTCAGGGGTGTACAGCCTTTCGGCATCTCTGCACCACACTGGAAGAGGAGTTGTCTTGGGCCACACATTAAATACATTATGAGATATAATCACAAAACTCATAATGTTTTAAGTAAATTTACAAATTTGCTTTGGGCCACATTCACAGCCATCCTGGGCTACATGTGGCCCATGAGCCGCAGGTTGGACACCCAGATGGAACAATCAATCTCTGGGCTGCAATACCTAGAAATAAATCACTGTAGTTAGAGGGAGCATGTGGGCCAGATGTTCCCTGTACTCCAATGTAACATAATCCTGAGGCCTGTGATTTCCATAACTTGGGTCCTTAAACACCCCAAAACTTCCCCTAGATTTCTGACCTCCTATTTAAAAAGAGCAGAGCATCAAAATACATGAAACAAAAATTGATGGAATCAATGAGAAATAGACAAAGTCTTCATTATAGGAGGATATTTCAGCACCCCTTTCTCAATAATTGATAGAGTAAATACACAGGAAATCAGCAGACACAGAGGACTTGAACAACACAATTAACCAATTTGACCTAATTGATATTTATAGAATATCCAACAATAGCAGAATATAATTCTTTCCAAGTACACAAAGAACATTTACTAAGAATAACCATATTTGGGACCATAAAACAAGTCTCAACTGATTGAAATCATGCACAGTATGTTCTCTGGCCAAAATGGGATTAAATTAGAAATCAATGAAAATATATCCAAAAAATAACCAATGTTTGGAAATTAGTAGTACACATAGGTCAAAAAATGAAAAATGAAAGTAGAAAATATTTTGAACTGAATGTAAGCAAAACATATCAAAATTTGTGGAATGCATATAAAACAGCTCTTAAAGAGATATCAATAACATTCAACACCTATGTTAGAAAAAAGTCTCAAGCCCTACCCCGGAAGCTCAGTTGCTTAGAGCATTGTCCTAATATGTCAAGGTTGTAGGTTCGATCTCCAGTCAAGGTGCATACAAGAATAAACCAATGAATGCCTAAATACGGGGAACAACAAATTGATATTTCATTCTCTCTCTCTTCTTTCTCAATTCAATTAATAACGTTTTTAAAAATTACTGTTTAAAAAAGAAAAAGATGCCCTGGCTGGCAGGCTCAGTGGATTGAGTGCCAGCCTGCAAATCAAAAGGTTGCAGGTTCAATTTCCAGTCAGGACACAGGCCTGGGTTATGGGCCAGGTCCCCAGTAGGGGGCACATGAGAGGCAACCCTGCTTTGATGTTTCTCTTCTGCTCTTTCTCCCTTCCCTTCTGTCTAAAAATAAATAAATAATCTTTAAAAAATTTTTTTAAAGGAAAAAAAGTCTCATATCAATGACCCCATGCTTCTACCTTAAGAAACTAAAAGAAGGGAAACAGAAAATAATAAAGATTAGAGAAGAAATCAATGAAATAGGAAACAAAACAAAAAATAAATGAAACCAGGTTCTTTGAGAAAGCAGTAAAACTCTAGCTAGACTGATTGCAGAAAAAAGAGAGAAGGCAAAAATTGCCAACGTCAGAAACGAGAGAGGTGACATAAATACAGAGCCTACAAATATTAAAGGATAATATA